TCAGAAAACTTGTAATACAAAAAATAATTGTCTTAATGTGAGTAATCAACTTGGGAGGTTTCATGCTGATATCTGTTAGTTTAAATTTTTACCCAATTAACCTGCAGTGAATTTTAAAATAAGGCCATTTCCTCTAAATTAGGTTTTTTTTGTACTCTGAGCCATAAATCTCAACTTCAGCAGCTCTTACATTCTCCAAACCTTCCAGTTTTATTCCTGTCTGTATTCTGAAGGTTTGTAAAGACAGGTTTGTTCATAAATCCTTCACAGCCTGAGTTATATCACAGACAGCTTCTCAAAATGAGTTATTTCTCGAACTTCTTTTGAACGACATGTTTGTCCTTGACTCGGCTCTGCACCGTCCTGGAGGTGGTGGTGTGTTTCTTCTCCGTCTGGTCGATTGTCGGCCTGTCGGGGTTCCACACGTACCTGATCAGCTCCAACCAGACCACCAACGAGGACGTGAGTATATATGAAAGCCCAGACTGTGGTCCCTGAGACCCAGGACGACCCGGGTTTACATTTATTGGCTCTGATAAACTGAACCAACACTCTCTGTTTCTGGTCCTGGTCCAGATTAAAGGGTCCTGGTCCACCAAGCGAGGGAAGGATAACTACAACCCCTACAGCTACGGAAACATCCTGACCAACTGCTGTGCTGCTCTGTGTGGACCTCTGCCCCCCAGGTCAGTAATCTCTGTACTTTATCTGAGCTGTAAACTGAATCATATGACCGTCCTCTGGTGTTAATACTGACATGGAGTCGACAGTCTGGGACTACTTTACATCAACATATTTATATAAAAGAAACAGCGATAACGCTCTGTAATCAGCCTCCACTGATCATACTGATCGAGACACATCATTCACAGGAGTTTATGCTACTTAGATTTGCTGAAATTAAGGAACTAGTTACATTTTAACCTAACCTTTAATTAATTTCTGCCGTCTTCCCACAACCTGTACCGGCTGTTTCTCCCTCGCGAGTCCCACCAGCCTCTTCCCCTCCTCTCCCTGCTAGCAGAGCGGCTACTGATTTATCTCAATAACTGTTTGATGGATTGCGATGACACTTTATTCAGACGATCGAGGTTCCCAGAGGATGAAACCCTCCAACATTTGTGATCCTCTGACATTTCCTGTAGCGCCACCTGCAGGTCAAACTCATCTTGTGACATCTACTCGATCTTTTGTTTGTTTGGTATCATGTATCCTGGTGAGCATGTTGACCTTAACATTTAGCTCAAAGTCCCACTGTGACACGGAGATAAAATGTTAAGAAATAAATGTAGATAATTTCATTTAGCTCAGTTTTTATGTGGTAAAACATTTTATAATGGCCGCAAACAGAATCTACTCCCCTCACAGCTCTATTCTGACTTTCCTCTCATATTTACCATCATATATTCTTCCTCCTCTTCCTCCTCCTCCTCTTCCTCCTGTCAGCAGACGATGTGTTTCTGTGTTTAATGAGGACAGTTTTCAGTTGAGACCTTCCTGGAAGTAATTACAGTCTTCTCCCTCCTCCTCCTCGCCGTCTCCGAGAACAGTTCCTCGTCTCTCAGCTGGGTTGTTCTCCTCCTCCGATATCGCCGTTCTCCCTCGCCGCTGACAAACCGAGCTCTGCAAAAATTAATCAAAAAACAATCAAAGTCAGCATATTGGATCGCTGCAGTTCATCAGAGAAGAATCATATCTGCCTCCAGCTCTCGGCTTTCATCAGCTATGTTCCCATCCACAGAACCTGTGTGGTGATTCTGAGACTCTGTTATAATTTAATGGGAACAGAAAATTAAAATCGGTTTGGTTTGGAGTGAAAATGGAAAAGTGTTCCTCCACTCTTACACATACTTATGGACATATACTGTCTCTGTGTATGTTGTAATGTGGATTTCAACAATCAGGTTGCAGGAGAGAACCCCGAAGGAATAATGTTATGTTACTGATTTATTTGGTGAGTTTAGGATTCGGGACTTTCCTGCGTTGATTTGGAACTTGACTTTCTGGACTTGATTGCAAAGACTTGAGACTTGTGACTATTTGTCCTGAGGTCCAAACAGGGTCGTGTCACTGATCTGCTTCCTGCCAGCTGCGTCCCGGCCTAACTAACTGAGAAAAGTTAGTTTGATTATTGATTGATTGATTAATTGATTGATTAATTGATTGATTGATTTCACAGTAATGCACATCACGTTATTGGAACAAGTTGTGCTTTTCTTGTTTCTACACCTGCAACATTTCTGAGATGTTTACTCGCTCTCTGGTGAGTTTCCTCCAAATTATTCTGTTAGGTATTAATTAATGTTAGCTGTTATTGTTAGC